CATGGCACGCACTCGATCGGCATTCCTGCGCGGCGCGGCCGCGGCCGCCGGACTTTGCCTGGCCCTCCACGCCGCCCGCGGCTTCGTCGCCCCACGGAGCACCGGAGCCGAGCTGCGCACGGAGGAGCTCCGCGGTGCCGTGAGGCCCATGGGCGCCGCGGCCGGCGAGCAGAGCCCCGCATCCCTCACCGCCCCAGCGGCCACGGCAGCGGCGCCGGGTGCGTTCTCGGGATCCACGCTGCTCACGGCCGGACTCTTCACGGCCCGCAGCATGGTCAGCGTCTGCGCGCAGGTGGCCCGCCATGCCAAGGCGCCTGTTAGCGAATTCGGTGCTCCCAGCGGCGCCCGGAACTTCCAGGAAATGGCCCTTGGCTTCACCACCGACATCGCCAAGAACAACTTGGGAGAGTCTTTCTACAGGCCCTGGGTGCCCTTTGTGACGACCATCTTCCTCTTCATCTTCGTGAGCAACTGGTCCGGCGCCCTGATCCCCTGGAAGCTCTTTGAGATCCCGGCTGGTGAGTTGGCGGCCCCGACCAACAACATCAACACCACCGTGGCCCTCTCCCTGCTCACCTCCCTGGCCTACTTCGGAGGCGGCGGCGGGATTGTCGATGGGGTGCTACATACTGTTGATGATATAAATCCTGCATTACCTCAAACTTTGGGAATTATGGTATATTCCTTTCTATGGGTGATGCAGGATTTATATCATCAACCGTATATCCTCGTAAAACGAAAGCTTGAAGCTTTGATCATTTTACAACTCCTTGCCATTCCTGAGCTGCTAAACCGTGGACCTTACAAGCCATTTCTTACACCTAATATAGAAGCCTAAACAATTACCTATACTATTTTGGTGGGTTCCTTATCACAATAATTATAGTTGTTTTACCCCAAGACCCTGTTCTAGTTACTCTAGTTATTAAGGCCCCTAGATTATCCCAAAGCCTCCTGCTTCCCCAAGACCACTTTCTGGCTCGCTCTGGAGCCTGGCTCTTGCAACTGCCTCAACTGTCAAGCCCTCTTCCCACCCGTCTGTCCCATAACCAGTGTATTCGATTAGAAAGGTTAGGTCATACTAGACTTCCCCTACTCCACGTCCCCTGCATAGCAAGACGAAGCGAGGCGACAACACTTGTCTCGAAACCCTAACCCCTAAGCCCCAATCGCTAGCCGGCAAACAGTCCTACACCAAACCCTTGCAGAACAGGGGCGGATCGCAAAACCCTATTCTAAATATTCTAAATATTAATGCCCTTATATATTAAGCCCAAGACCCTTTAAGATCCCGGAAAAGGTGGCCTGGCCAAGAAGGGTCTCGGCTACTTCGCCCGCTACGTGAAGCCGACCCCGATCCTGCTGCCTCTTGGCTCAGAGGGCTCCAGTAAACGGGTTCCTCTCTTGGCTCCCTAGGGTTTGGGGTTTAGGGTTTAGGGTTTAGGGTTTAGGGTTTAGGGTTTGAAGTAGTTCGGGTTTTTGGGGTTTGGGAGTTAGGAGCTTAGGGTTTAGGGATAGGGGCGGGTTTGGGTTTGGGGCTTGGTCTTCAGGTTTGGGGCTTAGGGTTTAGGGTTGAAGGGTTCCCTTCAAAGTTCCTTTCAGAGCTCCAAAAAGGGTCCGTGAAAAAAGGGTTCTACACCGGTCGTTTTACAAGGGTTCGTTCGGGTTGAGGACCGCCTCCTGGCTCCCAGTTTTAAGGGGTTAAAGCGTGGCTGTGTAGGTCAGTACTGAAGGGCACATACAGGGCTCTAATGGGTTTCCAAAGGGTTCTGAAGGGGAGCTATCGGGATTTCTAGAGGTTTACGAGTCTACTTAAGGATCAGGGGACTTCGCAAGTGGAGTAGTAGTACGTCAGGCAACTACAGTTACAGTGATCCATACACCGTAGTTACGAAGTCCGCTGACGCCCTAAGTGAGCACCATTCACCTCATTCTCTCTCTCTTGTTTGTCGACATCCCTTTATCTAAACCCTGAATTCTTTAATTAACTATAAACCGAAACCCCTTAAACCCCTAAACCCAAAAACACAAAGACCGAAAGCTCCTGAGGCCCATCAACATCCTCGAGGACTTCACCAAGCCGCGTCTTGGCTCCATCGACGACTGCTACCGTGGGCAAGGGTGTCATGATAGGCAGTAGGAGCAATAGGAACCAGGACGTGGAAAAGTAGTAGTAGTAGTAGTAGTAGTAGTAGTAGTCGTAACTCGTAGTGGCCTTGCAAATCCGCCCATACCACAGCCGATTTTGAAAAGACTTCATCAACCCTGAAACACTCTATAGAACCCTACAGAGCCATCGTAAGCCGCCTTCGTCAAGCACTCCCCTGAAAATCGCCGAGGCTGTCCCTGAGCTTCCGACTTTTCGGAAACGTCGTCGCGGATGAGCTGACCGTGGGAGCGCGGCCCTCAATGGAGTTGCTTGAAGACTCCGAGACCCCTGATATGAAAGTCTAGATAATTACCTATATGATTCCTTAGGATTCCTTATTATATGTATAGTAAAAGGGTCCCCAAAACCCTATTCTAATTATTAAAGCCCCCTAAATTACATGAAGAAATACTATGTAAGCTGTAGAGGGATTGTGTAAATGATTTGCGCTCTCATTCTCAAGTGAGGTGTTCTGGAGTCTCTGTTGCACGGGCTTTAAAGGAGTCTACAGAGTTACGTTTCCTTTGCTTACTGTTCAAACATTAGTTTTCAGTGTTGTACTGGGGAGTACCCTAAACCCTACACCCTAAACCCTAAACCGTTATCATCCTTGATCAGACCCCGACCTCCGGAAAGGATCCAAAAGGCAGAACCCCTAGCTCGGCATGTACTCCTGAAGGTTCCTTTATGGGAGGCTTCTGCTGAGATCTGCTGTCTAGATCCTCCCAGAAACCTGGGAAGTACTTTGGGGGTTCCCGAAAAGGAGCATGTTACCCAAAGAGCATTCAGTACCCGAAACACCCTTCAGTTTCAAGATCAAGTCATTCACGGGCTTAGGCTTCATTTAAGAATTCTTCTTGGGGTTTGAAAAGGTGTATGAACTTCAAGGCTTTCTTTGGGTTTAAACGGGTTCAGCAGGATCTACAGTGCTATGATAACAGTGTACCCAGCAAGCTTATACAATATTAGTCTTCGCGAATGTAAAGGAGCATACACACTTCATACTACTTATTCAAGCCACAAATGGTGATCGCAGTTGCAAATGAGTGAGTAGTACTAATATAGGGGCCTTCATAATTACCTATACTAGTTTGGGGGGTTCCTTATTATCATAATTATAGTATAATATACCCCAAAACCCTATTCTAATTATATTAAGGACCCTACATTACCATGGTAAACGGCTAAAGACTGCCACAGGTAGTTTGGCAAGTGTTGAGGCTTCGAATTTCGCCGGCATTTCATGGAGTCCCTCAAATACGGCACCCTATAGTTTGGGGGAACCCAAAACGGGCCCTAGTTTTGACAACCACGTATATTTAGATGCTAAGAGGGCTTTGTGCAAGGGTCGAAAGAAGGGATGTCAGTTGACCATGGATTGAAACAGTTCCGGAAGTTTTCACTGTTTAGTCTTTATTTGAAAAAACGATATTTTGGAGCTGGTGGCTTCACCTGCGTGTTTAGCTGTCTTGCTGGAAGGCAGGTTCTGTTGCAGCGTGTGGTTGTCCGGGTTCGGGGTGTTCGGAAATTGACAAGCTTCTCTGGCCTGTCGTGCGTGTGCGCATACTCAGAAAGCAGCCATGTTAAGAACGACGTGTGTGGCTTCAGGGCTGGAGCCGTGCAAGCTTTGGTGTTTTTAGGGTTGAGGTCTTGGCTTTCAACCGTGGTTTGAAAGCTCTACAAGCCAAGCTGAAATTCAGCCAGCCAAACGACAAGAACCTAATCCGAATCCGTCGAGGTGCTTTGCTTCCTGGTGCCCTTCATCATCCCGCTGCCGATCATGGGCCTGGGTCTCTTCGCTGGCTCAATCCAGGTGGGGTTTAGGGATTTACGGCTCAGGGGGTTTAAGGTCGCGAAGGTTTAGGCATTTAAGGTTTGGGGCCTTTTTCGCTGGCTCGATCCACGTGAGGGTCTACGATGGTCGGTTTTCACAGGGCTTGTACAGGGTTTCAAAAGGTTCTGGTAATTTCGGTTTCTCTCTTTCAAAATGCCCCTGTGCCTTCTGAGCCTCTAAAGCCCTTAAAGAACAAAGACAAAAAACTTTGTTTTCGCTCCTTACGGAACCCTACCAAACCCCCTCTTAAAGCCTTTAAAAGCCCTTGAAGAATCCCCCTAAACCCTAAACCCTAGACCCTAAACCCTATTTTTAAAAGTTACAAACAAAAAAACTTTACTCCAGGCATTGATCTTCTCGACCCTTGCGGCAGCGTACATCAAGGAGGCCCTGGAGTGAAGAGACGGAAGCGAAGGCGGGCCTTTGTTTGGGGACCCTGGGACCCCGAAACTTCAGAGGCTTTGGGGTTTGGGGTTTAGGGCTTTAGGGCTTTAGGGCGTTAAGGGTTTAGGGTTTAGGGCTTTAAGGGTTTAGGGGTTTAGGGCTATACGGGTTTAGGGCTTTGGGGCTTTAAGGGTTTAGGGTTTGAGGGTTTCGGGTTACGGCGAAGGGGGTTTAGGGTGTAGCGGTTTAGGGTTTAATCTGAGGGTCTTCACGGGGGTTGATTGAAGGCTTTATCGGTGCTTTACTGTTGATGGACAAAATTCTGCATGACCCAAATATAGTAGAGTACCATAAATCCCATAGTTTAGGTATATAAGGTCATGCAGGATTTTGTCCATCAACCGTATGACGAAGGCATAGCCTTGCTTTTTTAAAGGAAACTACAGGTGGGGAGTTAAGGGTTCCCTTAAAAAGGGTTTGGGGTTTAGGGTTTAGGGTTTAGGGTTTAGGGTTTAGGGTTAAGGAAACTACGGGTGGGGAGTTTAGGGTATAGAGGGCTTCTGTAAGGCTTCTATAAGGTATATAGACCTTCTATAGGGCTCCTATAACGGTAACCACCCACCTGAAAATGTCCTAGACTTTTGGGACTCTAGATCCTGCTTACCGGTGATTTGACCGTTGAGGCCCAAAAGCCGAATTCCGTGGGATGCAGGGTTTAGGATTCTTTGAGGTTTCGGGCGCAGGATTTCGCCGAAGGCTGGTTGGTGGCTACCAAAAAAGGGCCTTAAGGCTTCTTTGTCCTAGTAGTAGGGTAGGTAACCTTTAACCTTTTTGGGGTAGTACAACCCCTATATAACCCCTATATAACCCCAAAGGTTAACCTTTAGTTCCCCATGATACCCGACAAGTAAGCTGTAGGTTACTACAAAGGCGACTGCAAGGGCTGCTTCGATGGTTGCGTGGAGGGGTTTCAGCAGGACTGACTCGGCGAGTTCACTCCCTGAGGTTTCGACGCGAGCTCCGTACTCTTGTCTACAAGAGTCTTCATGATCGTTGCTAGAGTAGCTGCCAGAAGTTATTTTCAGCCAGGTTACAAGTAAGCACAATAGTTTTATAAGGACTTTACAGATGCTTTGTGCGTCTTAGATTGGTCTTTGCGTCTTCTGCACGGGCTCAGAAATTAAATCCCGTGGGAGTTGGAATTCAAGAACTGTCCGGGAACGATGCCTTAACTTCCACACCCAACCCTGCAAACAAGAAATGGCCCGCAAACCCTAAACCTGAACCGCAGGAACAGCTCAGATTTTGCTGGGCCCCATATGGAATAGTGGAAACATGAGACCTCACTACGGTGCTTTGCCCTAAAGAGATCAGCAACTTGAGCAAGTCCCGAAGATCCCAAACTAAGCTTCGATCACACGCAGAAAGACCCCGAAAAGCCCCGGAGAAGCCCGGAAGTCTGAATCCTAAAGTCTACAGTAAGCCCCCAAAAAGTTGGAAACTGGATCAAGGACAAGATCTGCTGGGATTCCCTATATATATATATATATATATTTACTTATTTCTTTATTTATTTATATATTAGCTCTGGCTCGAGACCTTCCAGCGGTAGAGCCGTTTACCACTAACCCTCGAGGGACCCGTTAACATGGTCGGCTTCGGTGATCCTGCGTTGAGGGAAGTTCAGATCGGATCCATTCTGGACTTGGTGGTTTTTCATGTCAGTGGGGACATCTTCAAAGGTGCGATCCATGGTGATCTCTATTCCTGCAAGAACCTGGGACCAGGCCTTTGGACTCTTTTCGGCTACACCCTCAGCTCCATCGACCGTGGTGTGGGTTTTCTTGAGCCTGATACAGAGTCCAGGGCTTTTCCGAAACCTGCCCGTTCAGCGGCAGCCTTTGGAACCTTGGTAGAAGTTTGCGCTGGGATCGGTGGGATGAGCCTGGGAGCAAAATTTTCAGGGATGCAAATTCTGTTACAGGTGGATAAGACAGACATTGCTTGCGACACGCTGCGCTTGAACGGAGGTCCAGTTCTGGCAGGGGACATAGGTGACCGTACTGTCCAACTCAACATTGCCCAGGCATGTCAGGGCAGGGGACACTTGCTGGCCGCCAGCCTTCCAAGCTATTGCCTTTCTTTGCCTGGAACCGAAGGGGGAAACCCCGACTGGAATAAGCATATCTTGGGCTGGGTCCTTCAGGTTGCGTGGAAGAACCAAGTGGCAGGCCTGATCGTTGAATGCCCCCTTCAAATACAGGACAGGCCTCAGGCCTTGCAGCTCCTGCAGAGCTTTGCCACGCACATGAGGTTTCAGGTTCAGCAGGTTGTCCTTGAACTGAGTGACCAATGGGCGGCACACCGCAGCCGCTGGTGGTGTGTCATGCTTCCACAGGAGATGCCTGCTCTGCACCT